CACCCACGGGACTCCACCCTTGGGCCGGCGAACGGGACAAAGACGGAGGACAGAGCGCGAGAATCGTGTCGAGGGATCGGTGGAAACCGACGAGGAGGGAGAATCTCGCTTGGTATTGTCATGCATACAGCCCTGGCACGTAATAATGCCGGCCCTTTGTCGCTTATGCGCCCCTCTTGTTTTCTGCGTCTCGCCCCCGTCACGATCGCTTTGCCCCCTGCACCCTCGTTTCGACCGCTTCTATAACTGGCTTCAGTGGAATTTTGAGTATTTCTCGTGGAGAAGAATATTTTTTTTTTTTTTGTTTATTATACGCGATTTAAGAATTTTGGAAAAATATTCTTGAAGTGTGTATTGGTATTCTTTGAAAATTTGAAGTTTCTTGAAATATTTATAGATAGATACTTTGAGAATTTTTGAAAACCTGGAAATTTCGTGATTTTAAAAAATATTTCCAAAATCTATCTATTTAGTATAATACTCGAAATTTTGAAACTTTGTGATTTTGCGAATTCTAGAAATTTCGTGGCGTTAAAAAATATTCTTGGAATCTAGATATTTTTTTGTACCCTCGAAACTTCGAAATTTCGTGATTTAAGAATCTTGCAAACTTAGAAATTTCGTGGCATTAAAAATTAATTTGAATATTTCCGAAGTCTGGAAATTTCGAGATTTAAGAATTTTAAAGCGTTCACGAAGTTAGAAATTTTGTGTCATTAAAAGGATGATATTTTTTTCTATATGAATATTTATCTATTAAGATATTTTTTTTTTTTTGAGCGTGTATGAATATTTTTTTAAATTCGACACTCTAAGCTTCGAAATCTCGTAATTTGACTTAACCTAGAAATGCTTCGCCGTTAAAAATTAATGTAAAAATACGTGAAGCGTGACTCATTATAGAAACGAACGTTGTGTAAGACGTGTCTTTATAAGTTACGTTTAGTTAAGTTTGAGAACCACTGTACTCCCTAGCGAGTTGCCCTACATTCGTTCATGTAAGGAGGTTTGCAGGACCTCAGGGATATTCCCTACGAACTTTTAATTGTCGATAGCTACAGAAGAAAACTTCAAACACAATTATTCTTTTCTCTAATTTTTTGTTGTACCAAATTATTATACTTGCATATGCATTTTCTTTATTTCTTTCATCGAGTGTATCCACTAATAGAACATACTAGACTACAACTAATAGAAATCAACATTTCAGATTCATATAATAAAAATATTTGAATTCATATTTTTGAACCATTTTCATATCTTTACGTAAAAAAGAAATATCCATCTTTGTTTGCCAAATACATATTTCGTATGATAACCAAAAAAAGGTGCATGTTATTTTACATTCATCCCTATTACTTCCATCTCAATAAGTATTCGATAAATACTTCATACATATATATATATATATATATATATATATCCTGAGCCATGAATTCGTGAAGAGTCCGCGCATTTATGAAACGGAAGCCAATGGTTGGAAGCGTTTGGCCAAATTGTAGAAGAGTGTTTTATCGGCGATAAAGACGAAGAAGTGTCGTATTCCCGGCAACTTCGGCTTTCAGAGGCTGCGTATCGGCGTGAATGTTCCAAGTAGCTTCTTCGAGTAGGATGCAATATCTCCCGGTGGATTGCCGGCCATGATCGAAAGTTCTTGCAGCATTTCGAACTGTGTAACAACCGTCTACAGTTGGAATCCTATAGTTCAGTAATTGTCCTTCCGTGAACAAGTTGTTTGAGATATCCTCAAGTGAGGATCACAGTCCGAAGAGGATGCAGATCGTGCAATTGATCCATCCGTCTTCACCGATTTCACGTCGATATCTTTTTAACAAAAGGCATCGAGTTCGAATCAGTTTATATCACGTGACAAATTGATCCTTCGTTCCCCATAGTTGGAAATTCGAGCTCAAAAAAAAGCTATTCTTTTATTTCAAACACGTCCCTCGTAATTGTAATAAATTGTGGAAACACTAAATGAAATAAAACATTTTTTAAAATTAATTTCTCTTCAAAAACGTTCACATATAATGTGTTTAATTTTTCTCCAATTAAAATTATTCTAAAGTAAAAAATTAAGAAAACAATTTGACAATCACTGCTTTTAAAATATCCTCTTATAATAATATCCCTTAAAGAGGTTAGTTTGTGTAAAAAAATACAAACCTTCCTTTCTAAAAAAATTCTTTCTTAAAATTCTTTCTAAAAAAATCCTTTCTTAAAATTCTCTTCTTCGAGCTCAAAAGAATTTTTACGTTAGAGAAGAATGATCAACTAACTTACCACGCGAAATATACCACTTTCCCTGCACAAAAATCATCCAAATCAAGCTAAGAAGAGGTAAAGAGAGAAAGAAACGAAAATAAGAAAACGAAGGTACGAAGAAAGCGCGACGATACGGATGTCGGAGTGTGAGTGCCGCGTTCTGACGAGGGACAACTGGGCCAATCGATACCGCAGCGACCGATGGCGGGTCGGGGGCGGATGG